GACTGTCTGATGCTGTCAAGCTGACAACCATTAATATTTCAGAGATCTGAGAAGGGTATATTTTATCCGAATCTACTAAAAAGTGACAGAAGCCAGTTAGAAGCCAGTCCATATACAGTTAGCCATACCCAAGTTTCTCCATTACCGCTGGAGGCAGATGTCTCAAAGAACAACAGTTAAGAACTCTTAACAACAACAACAACAACAACAAAAAGTCACTAAGACATTATCTTATGTTTGCCTATAGAACTTTTCATGACTTGGATTTTGTTGTTGATAGCCTTTTGATTGGGTTGGGTTTTACTTTGTTTTATTTTTCAGCTGGGGTCTCTCTATGTTGCCTGGCCTTGTTTTGAAGTCCTGGAATCAAGTGATTACACTGCCTCCACCTCTGGAGTACAGGACTAAGCATGTGCCCTCCACACTCAGCTTTGAGCTTCGTTTATGCAAAACATTCTCCCCTTCTTCCTTCACACAGACTTTTAAACAACTGTTTTTAAGTCAAAGGGTGCTAGGAGTTAAAACAGGCTATATATGAGGTCTAATTGCTCTGGGAACTGTGTGTCCATAGCAAGGTTACCAACCTGCTCCTGTTTCCTGTCAGGGAGGAGTGTTAATAATCAATTTGGGGAGAACTAAAAGATCCTTTCCCTTTAACATCAAACAGCCCACACTGCAAAATTAAAATGAAACCTGAATCATACTGAGTTTCTGGATTTTCCTTCTAAATTTCAAGGTGCCCCTGGGAGTCTAACAAAGTCTAATGAATCTGACAGAGAAAAGGAAAGAAACAGGTAAGAAATTACAGGTTGTACATTTCTCTCTATTGTGCAGAATCACATGACAGCTTCAAAATGTATTTTTGCTCAGTCTGAAGACTTATACCAATGTTCACCCACTGCCACCTGGACATGGCTAGAGAAGAAACTTCCACCTTCATTCTATCCATCCTCTGCAATAGGGCCATACCACACAGATGAAAACCCCCTTTCAGTCTTTATAAAGGTCTGTAGTTTTACCTCTTAGGTTTAGCTCTATAACCATTTTGTGTATTATGTGACGCCAATTAAAAAAAACATTCTGATCTATAGAGTGAGTTCCAGGACAGCTAAGGCTACATAGCGAAACCCTGTCTCAAAAACAAACAAACAAAAATCCTTAAAATCCTGAAGAAATTGACTATAAAATGTTTCGAAGAAAGGCATTTATGACTTTTAAGAAGTAGCATCTAGTCAAATGTCATTTATGTAAATTTGTGAATGTGTTTGAGGAAGATGCAGGGAACAATGTGGGGGGAGTCTCTCTCTCTCTCTCTCTCTCTCTCTCTCTCTCTCTCTCTCTCTCTCCTCTCTCTCTCTCTCTCTCTCTGTGTGTGTGTGTGTGTGTGTGTGTGTGTGTGTGTGTGTGTAAGGGGGTAATGTGTATGCAGGTTCCTGTGTGCTTGTTTGTGTGCCCCCACTGAAGTTCATGTGCTAAAACCAAGGTGGTAGTACTATGAAGCATGACCTTTGGGAGGTTAATTTTCATGAAGGCAAAGTTCCCATCGATAGCATTAGCTCCTTTAAAAGAAATTCCAAAGGATGAGCCAATCCCTTCCAACATGTGAGTATGTCATTAACCATGTCCGGAGAGCTGCAGTTAACAATGGAGCTTATGGAGTTCAATTCACCAAATAGCAAAGCTAAACCCTGGAGAGAGAGGCAAAGCCCTGAGGTGACTGTCTCCAGAATGTCCCCTTGCTTCTGCTGTGCTTTCTCCTGCTTGATGCTGCTGTATACCTGCTCTATTTGGCATGGCGTTTAGAATAGTGCAATTTAGAATAGTGCATGTCTAGAATAGTGCAATTGTTTCTTGGGAAGTGAAGATGATTTTCATAAGAGCAATGATAATTAGTTAGATCTATGATTTTTTGGGCTTTCTGAGTAACCCTAAAAGATAAAGGTGGTTAAGATAGTAAAGATGATTAAAGAAATGGTTTTGGTTATTCTGCAAATTGCTCCAAAAAGAGACACAAGTAGGTCAAAACCAGGCTAGAAGTCACCTTCCCATTTGTTAGAGGTGAGATTTGCAGAGGATGGAAAATAAGAACAAGGAAGCTTCAAGCATTATACATGTATGAATTCTGGCTGTGGAAAAACAGGCTGATGGTCAAAGAAAACAGTTAAGTCCCTACACCCAAGGTTAGGCGTTCGTTCCTTGGTCATGTAGCTTACAGAATTAATCACAGGTCTCAGTATGCACTTGAAAAAACAAAGCTGTGAAAGAAAACTAAATGACTCTATTATGTATAAAGAAAAATAGATGAATAGCTAGACTACCTGTTTAAGGTTTTGTAGAGTAGAAATAGGATAGGAATCTCCTACAATGAAATGGTAAACAGCTTCCTGCCAATACAAAAGGAACTGGCTGAAATATACTTGGCTTCCTTAAAACTTTGTTAATCAGTAATAAAAGAATCATTTCTTTGGGGTGAAGATGTCATGGTAGGAAAATTAATACAAAGAAAAGTGTTTAACTACTTGTGGGCTTCTAAGGAAAACATGTAACTTGTGATCTTCATGTGATTTCTACTTATGTAAAGATTTTAATTTGGTTTTGTAAAATATGTAACTTGGGGTACTGAGGTAATCTTTTCTTATGTAGAATAGTTTGTATTAGGAGGTATAAAAGGGATAAGAGAAAATGTAAAAGAAGAACAGAACAGAGGAAGAACAAGCAGCAGAAAGAAAAATATAATGAAGAATTAAGTTCTGTCCTTCAGGCAAAGTTCCCATGTGTGTCTGTGCATGTGTACAGTAGTTTGCCTACTCTACATCTCCTCTCCAGTATCACTGACCTGCTGGAGGCTGGACCCCTTGGCCGCATGAGAACACAGCAAGAAGGTGCCATCTATGAAAAATGAAATTCTCACCAGAGAAAGAGCCGCCACCACCCAGTGTGATGGTCAGTCTTTTGGTGTTGTTGTTCTAGTCATTCAGATGGATGTTAAATGTTTGGAAATTTTGAGAGGTAATTGCTAAATGTCTATTAGAAATGAAGTTATGTAAATAAGCTGGACATGGCAACACTTGCTTATCATCCCATCACTTAGGAGGTAGAGGCTGAGGATCAAGAGTCCAAGGTCAGCATTGGCTACATAGTCTCTGCAATACATGAGACTCTGTCTTCAAAAAATCAAAATATAAATGAAAAATTAAGCAAGTTGTATGAAAACTAAAGGAGATGCCCCAAATTTAACACATTTTAACTGGCCACATTTTACTGTTACTGTGTATTGATGGACATCTAGAAGACCACATGGAAATCCTCCTATTGGCTACAGTAAAAGAACTATCCCATAGACGCTGATGGGCCAGGGCACGGCTTTGTGACTGCTTTGTGACTACCACAACTTGAGAAAATAATGGAGAATATGTTAATATTGCAGATTAAATCAGTGTGGCCACTGTGGCCATAGCATTGTGGGTAGTGTAAACATGTGAAGTTCTAAGGTATATCTCTTCTGCTTTACTTTCAACTTACTAAGAGAAAGGAAACTGTGAGCCAACCAGTGCTCATAATATGTGGGAAACAGACAGACAGACAGACAGACAGACAGACAGACAGACAGACACACACACACACACACACACACACAGACACACACACACACACACACACACAGACACACAGTGCATTAAATACTTCTTTCCTGGAAAGCCAGTTGGTATGAATTCATCAGCACATTACTGTTTTGGAGACAGGTCTCAGCTTGTCTGTGCTAAACGGAAAAACAATGCTTAGCCTGACCAGTCTGAATAGGCATGAAAAACTTGGGGACAACATCCAAGACCAGACTACCAGGAGGCCAAGGGCATTTGGATGGGTGAGGCAGAAACCTCAGCCTCATGGAGGGAAAAGCACAAAACAAGACCACTGTGGAGGTGTCATAAGGCACTGATCCTGGAGTTGAGCCTTTCTACCCTGCCATTATTTAGCAGTAAGGACAGACTTCTAAGGGTACCACTTTCTGGTATAGGCTGTCCACCTGAGCCTGGTAAAGGTAAAGGTATCCAGCCTGAGAAATACAACAAACACACAAATCAGAGGTTGCCTGTCTTCTAGAGACAACCCTCTGTGACCTCCACTGCCCTCAGTCTCAACAAGGCCAAGAGACTATTCTCATGCAGCCATCATCAGTGCTCTGGCCACCACACACACTGAAGTCTCTCTAGTCATTTTGACCTACTTAGGGGTTCCCAAACGGGCCAGGCTGGCTCGATTGA